AAGGTCCGGGAAGCCCAAAGTTCAAGGGTAAGGAAATTGCCACCGGTTACCAGTCTAATGAGCCAACGGTGGTGGTTACAGATTCAGTTGCTGAGCCTTCTACAACTCATATGCCTTCTGCAGCTACCATGCCTTCCACAACAATTGGTCCTCCCACCGAGACAGCTGACATGCCACTACATCCATCTTCTAGACCATCTACATCAGTACCACTGCCTGCCTCATCCACATATCCACTCACTACGTTGCGAGTCTCCCAGATATTGGCGAGTCTCAACAACTGGATGCAGACAGATACTTCAAAGCTGTCTGACATATCCAGTGTTGTTGCAGCACAATCTTTTACCCCGGCAGCACCATAGGTACCTCCATCAGTGGAGGAAATATTGAAGAAGATCCTGAAAAATTAGAATACCATCATGGATACAATGGTGGCGCATGGGGGAGCTATTGAGGAGTTGGGAAAACAGTTGAAGAAGATACAGAAATCTCAGGATTCAAAGAAATTAATGGATAGATTAAGAAAAGAAGTGGCCAAGATATCATTCGTTGGGGATATACCACTTGACTTACTGATGGAGACAGTTCCATCAGTACCAGTAGACCCAGCAACACCATCAGCAGAAGCAGCAGCTGGCCAGTCAGAGGAGCCAGACCTCGCTACCCACATTGCCGAAAAGGTGCTTCAGATGTTCACCAACCCTGTTATTCCCGACCGGAGGATGATGAGATCCAGTTAGAGAAGCTCGAGGGTGTTGATGATACCATGCACACTGAGACCACATAGGGAGTTCTCTTCACTCTCTACCCTTCCTTATTCTAAGTTTTGTTAAGCATTGAGGACAATACTTATTCTTATTCAAGGGGTGGTCTATTTTTGTTGGTTTGATATGACATTGGCCGATAATAACTTTAATACTCGTTTTCTTTTATATTTATTCTCTCTTTAATTATGTATATATTCCTCCCCTCTTTTGATGTATATATTCTATTCTCCTCGGTTTGTATATTCATTTATCTTATTTTCAGTAGTTTATTTCATAGCTTCTTTAGTTTGTTTTTCTTGTAGTATAACTTCTTATTTACCTTAATAACTTCTTTTTGATTTGGTAGCTTCTTTTTATGTTTAAGTGAGCAATAACATTTGGTTTTCTTAATGACATGGTTCTTTCCAAAGGTGGGTTTTGTGTGAACCGGGTGGCTCTTTCCAACGATGGATGGCGTGACAACCTTCTTAAGAGATTGAGTCCACTTTTTATGTTTAGGTAAAAATAGTAGTATTAATGAATAAAAAAGGGTCAAGCATGCTTCATTTGGTACCAACACATTTAACTACGGCCTTATGGCTAAAATTAAGTTCTTGGCAAGAAATAGCTCTAATTAGTGACCTTTAGACTCTTGTGTTGACTTGAGCAATCATCGAGTGGTTTAGTTGAACCATTAGTGATTTTCAATCTTGAATATGGTTGTTGTGGGCCCTCGACTCTATCCTCTTTAACAATCCAATTGTGTGTGACGTGAGATTTTTGTTGCAAGTCGAAGTACCCGTGCGAATGGTCTAGAACTTGCCCCGAATTTGTTTTTAGGCGAAATTCTATGTTTTGCTTGGATTAAGAAGTGATTGTAGGCTCTCCTTGGCCCACATAAAATGTTCCATGTCCCACCAATATTGTTATCCGTAGTCAACCCATTTGAGCCTAAGACCTTTCTCATTTGATAGTCATATTTCAAGCCTTTACCTGTTTGTAGTGACTCTCTCTTGGCACCCTAACATTACTTAATACTCTTGATAAGTAATTGGATAAAACATAAGGTTGGGGGATAGACGAGGAGTTTGAAAGATGTATAAAGGCACAAAAAGAGAATAAATTAAGAAAAGGAAAGGTAAAGAAAAAGAAAGAATGAACAAAAGAAAAATGTGAAAAGAAAGTGAATAAACTGAAGAGTTAAAGGGATTCAAAGAAAAGCAATGATGCAAAGCATGGAGAAAACAAAGAAGGAGAAAATGAACATCATGATCGAGAAAAAGTGATGTTAAGTCTCTCTAGTTCCCCTAAGAAAAAAGATAATGACTCAAAGAGTCGGCAAAACATGAGCCAAAAAGAGAAAAATGAAGTGCTTAAGGAAAGATGAACACATTTCTATTCCAACATTCCCTACCCTTGTCCAATAAGCCTTCATTACATTCCAAAAAAGCCCTACGTGATTTCAAGTCGAGTGAACTTACATTAGTGGTGATTTACATGAGGGGCAAGCAAATGGTACTTAGAGCCGTACTTGTGACATTCTTTTGAGAGAGATGAACAAACTTTTCACATATCCTTGAATTGAGTGCTACATTCTTAAGTGAAACATGCTAACAGAGAGTAGAAGAGGAGGAGTTTGGGATCCACAGTGACCTACATGAAAGAACGAGCTTCCTTGATGAATAAAGTCAACTCTTGATACTCTAGTTTCACATTAGAACTATTGTACTTAAAAAGTCAAATTATTTCCTTGTTGATAATTCATAAGTATTGTGGGTAATTGTTGGTTCCAATTGATGTGTGTTTGATTCACCTTAGGTTAGCTGAAATAGCTCTTTTCTTATGGAGGAGGGAATTACCTTATTTTCTTGAGGACAAGCAAAAGCTTAAGTTTGGGGGAGTTGATAAGTAGAGATTTTGACTACTTATTTGTACCCTTTTACTTTCGTTTTAGCTCAAAAACACTTAAAGGTATTCTCGAAAACTGATAAAATATGCTTTATTGAAGGAGCATTGGGAAATGAGCCAACGTGATGAAATTCAAATCAAGAAGGAGTATTTTTGGACAAGGACTAAAAAGGGCAAAAAGTGGCAAAGTGCGGACCGCAGAATTTTGTCTGCGGCCACAGAATGTGAAGGACTTTGGACAATGCTCCTTGGCAATGTGCGAACCACACAATAATTGTGCGGCCGCAGAAGAGGAAGACCAGAGAGTTCGAACTTGAAGTCCATCAAGAAGTGTGGCCGCAAAAGTCCCTCCTGCAGCTTCAAAGTGCGGACTACACACAGAATTATGTGGCCGCAGAACTTCAGAAAGGGCAATTTTGTCCTAAATTTTTAGTTCTGTATAAATATTCCTTTTTGTCAAAATTAGGTTAAGTTTTAATTTCATAAAGTAGAGAGCCGTTTTTATTTACTGGTTTGGGAAATTTTACAATAGCTTGTCTAATTTACTTTGGATTTTTATCTCTTTATCATCTAATATGAGTTTAATCTTCTTTTCTTCTTTAATTTCTTCACTTTTGTCTATGAGTAGCTAAATTTTTATCTAGAGTTATGACCCAACCCTAGTGTGGGTACATAATGAGTGCTTGATTTAGGGCTTGTTTAAGGTTAGGACGGTTGCAAATATTGATTCATGCCTAATTGACTTAGTCTCTACTTGAGAAAGAGAGATTGTCTAGGAAAACTTGGCTAACAAAAAATTGGGGTCAACTCAAGAGATTGATAGTCCCAATTAAAGGGTTGAATCTAGAGATAGTAAAACCCGGCTTGAGCATATATCAACTATTTTGTGAATTACCTATTTGGACTTGAGAAAGCCAAATTGGGCAAAACCACTCTATTACCGAGAGGTATTGAGTGGGTAATTGTGTGTTGATTGCTATATTACACCCCGACCAACGAAACCTGCTCTAAAGCCCACAACCCGTTAGGCAACCACCTAGGTGGAAGTCATAGCCCTAGATCTTTTTCAACTTGAAAAACATCACCAAAAATATCATTCTCTAGTTTTATATTTGCAAATAATAGCTTAATTTAGAAGTAGACAAAAATAACAAAGTGTATAGAAGTGCATTTTGGACATATTATACGCTTAGTCCGAGTATATACCTAATCTCATCTACGGTCCATGAGGAAGCGATCCCGACTCCTAGTTGGGTTATTAAAATTGCATCAGCTGCTTCACAACCCCAATTTGAGGTGTGAACTTAGGCGACATCAGACAAGAAGAGAGAGATGAATCTTTATTTGCACAACTCTAAAGTTGTCCTGTTTGGACTCCTGGAGACATTGGCTAAGAGACAAAAAACATCTATTGATGCTCTTAACGTTTGTAATGGATGGTCATTCAGTAATAACTTAGCACATCATCTGGGTGGAAGAATTTGGATGCTTTGGAAACCACATATCTTCAATGTGAATATAACTAGTGTACTAGCTCAAATGCTACATTGTGAAGTGGAACACATGGGGACTCTATACAAGTTTCAGCTAAACATTAGTCTATGGGTTCAATGATCAAGTCCTAAGGAGGATATTATGGCAAGAATTGGAGAAAATCCATGGTACCATCAAAGAACCATGGGCAATTATGGGGGACTTTAACTGTGTACTGCATAGATGAGAGGATAGGAAACCCAATCAGTTTCAGAGGTAAGATATTTCAAAGAATGTGTGGGGAAATGCTCTTTGAAGGAACTCACATCATCATGTTCCTTCTTTACCTAGAATACTAAACATGGTGACACCAGTCGTTTAAATAGAATTGATAGAGTACTAGTTAATGGAGATTGGGTGACTAAACTGCTAGGATCAGAGGTGCACTTTGGTAATTAAGGACTTATGGATCATTGCCCAGCTGTGATAAATTGGGATAATGGACCACAAAAAATCAGCACAAGTTTAGATACTTCAACATGTGAAGTCAAGCTACAGACTTCCAACAACAAGTAGAGAACAATTGGAACAAGAGGATTACAGGCACACAAATGTACAGATTGGTAGGGAAACTAAATAGACTCAAGACGACTCTAAAGAAATAAATAAAACTCAGTTTGGATATATAGAAGGCAAGGCAGAACAAGCAAAAAAAGAGTTGGAGGATTGCCAAAGTGAATTGCAAAGAGATCCCACAAATATAAGACTAATAACTAAGGAGGTACGACTAGCCAAGAACTACAAAAATGAAACTTGGCAAGGAATCAGTATCTCAAGCAGAAATGCAAAGTCCAGTGGCTGAATTCAGGGGACATGAACATTAAATTCTTTCATAGTATGCTGAAAGTTAAAAGGAATGCTAACAAAATATTCACCATTAGGGATAATGCAGGGATTACCAGAAATAACAAGAATGGAATAGCTGAGGCTTTTGTGGATTATTATACTTCTATGCTCTGTACTAAGACTAGAGATAGAATGAGAGTGTGCAATGCTACAGTGAAGCAAGGTCCTGTAGTATCAGCTGAACAAAGAGGGATGCTGGTTGCAGAATTTACAATGGAAGAAATGAAACAAGCTCTATGGAAAATAACAGGGGATAAATCACCTGGGCCAAATGGCTATGGTAGCCAATTCTTCAAAGATTGTTGGGGATAATTAAAGAAGATCTAAAGGCAGAGGTAATAGAATTCTTCAGATAGGGAAGATATTGAAAGCTTGGAATAGTACAGTTCTGACATTAATACCAAAATTAGAGCATGCTGACACAGTCACTGATTACAGACCCATTACTTGTTGTAACACCATCTATAAGGTGGTGGCAAAGATGCTAACTAACAGGCTGACACAGGTCCTACCTGACATTATATCTCCAAATCAGAGGGAATTTGTGGCTGGCAAACAATAGTCCAAAATATCCTAATATGCCAAGATTTGGTGAGGCTTTATAATAGAAAACATACTAGCAGTAGTTGCTTGATAAAAATAGACTTGAGGAAAACATATGACACAGTGAAATAGGAGTTTGTGGAAGAGATGATGCATGCACTGGAATTTCCACAACAGTACATCCTATGGACTATGAATTGCATAACTATTGTGCAATACACAATAGCCATAAATGGAGGATTGTATGAAAACATAAAAGGGGAAAGAGGACTTAGGTAAGGGGACCCAATATTCCCATTGATATTTATCATATGCATGGAGTATTTTACAACAATAATGAATGTGGTAGCACAGCAGGAGGGACTTGGGTTTCACACCAAGTGTAGGAGCTTGAGACTGAATCACTTGTGCTTTGCAGATGATAGCAAGGGAGACTTTCAATCTGCACTTTTGTTATTGAGGGGGATGAATACCTTCTCTAACACATTCGACATGTGTACAAATGCCAACAAGTCTAAAATCTTCAGTGTAAATATGTCAGTCCAAATCCAGAATGATCTTATAGAGATGACAGGATACCAAAAAGGGAGCCTACCATTTAGGTATCTTGGACTGTCCATCTCTGCCAAGAGAATATCCAAAATGGATTGTGAGGTACTCATGGACAAGATAGCATCTAGAATCAAAACCTGGTGTACAAGGCACCTCTCTTATGCTAGGAGAGTACAACTAGTCAACTCAGTATTGCTACATATACACAGTTACTGTTCGGCCATCTGCATACTACCAAAGCAAGTGCTCAAGGAAATAACAACTATGTGTAGGAACTTTATTTGGGATGGAAAAATAGTCACACACAAGCCCCCATTAGTGGCATGGGACTTAGTGTGAATGATTAAATATGAATGAGGGCTGGGAATCACTGACATTATAAAATGAAATGAAGCTGCAATTGCTAAATATATCTGGAATATTGCACAAAAAGCTGATAATCTATGGGAGAAATGGATAAGTACTATTTACTTAAAAGAAAAAAACGGGTGGTAGTACACATGCCCCACTGTTCTTGCTGGTATTGGAAAAAAGTTTGTATGATCAGGGAGATGTTTGCTCCTGGTTTTACTCAGAATGGTTGGTTGAATGCAAATGGACAATACACGATCAAGGGTGGCTAACTATGGAGAATGGGAGAAAAGGAAGCCTAGCCATGGGGAAGATGGGTGTGGAATAAGATAAACGTGCCTAAGCATAGCATTATCTACTGGCTCATCATGCACCAAAGACTGCAGACAAAAGTCAGACTATGTCATATTGGTATAAGCCAAGATGATATATGCCCTATTTGTGGGACACAGGTGGAGACTATACTACATCTGTTCTTTGAAAGGTCATTGTCCAAACAATGCCTACAAGGAGTGCTTTCTTGGATAGGCATACAACTACAGCTAACTGATATAGCAGGGATATGGAAGAGAATGGCTAGAATCATCAAAGGCAAGAGATGCAGGGAAGTTGTCATTGCTATACTTGTTGCTCTAATATACTGGATATAGAAGGCTAGAAATAATGTTGTATGTGTCACGACCCAAAATCCACTAGTCGTGATGGCACCTAACTCAACCCAATAGGTAAGCCAACTAATAACTATCCAATTCCAATAATATTTAATAAGACAAATTAAACAAAAGTAATTATCTGAATCTTATACATTATTCCAAGGACTGATAGTGCAAATCATGAGCTTCTAAAATTAGAATTTACAACTCTAGTGTGAAGTAAAAATACATCATCTATTGGAATAATACATAAAATAGATTTTTCATAAGTCTAGAGCTACTATGAACAAGAGGAACTTATAACCGGAATGCATGTACATTTTCAAACCCAGCTCCTGTCAATCACAGCAACGTCAGCAGCCAACATCTGCACGCAAGGTGAAGAAGTATATATGAGTACAACTGAACACATGTACTCAATAAGTAACAAACCTAACCTTAGATTGAAAGTAGTGATGAGCTGGAACACAGGTCAGAGTCCAACACTAATAGCCAATAACAACTCATAATAACAGAATGAAAGTAATAAAAGAAGTAACTTAGAGATAAAATGCTCAGCTCATTCACAGTTCCAGAAAATAATTCTGCTTTTCAAGGAAATCAGTGAAACTCTAAATCACTTACTGAAATCGCCAAAAATATGAGTAAGTTTGAAATCCGTAATTTTTCCCAAAAAGCTTTCAACAGGTAAATGTTTCATTTTCAAATGGCATGAGGAAAATACATCTTTATGCATATATGTCAACATGTGTAAGAAGTCAGGAATGACGTGATACCGTACAATATGAGAAAAATGCATCTCTATGCATGTTCATGTAATGTATCTCAGAGATGAACTGATGTACTCACATTCTCAGAGTACTTAATCTCACTGTCTCACACTTTCCACTTATCATGCTCAATCACTCAGTACTGTATATGGCCAATCCAGCCCTGGAAAGATCCATCCCAAAAATATACATAGAAACTGCCAGTAAGTCACTCAGTACTATATAAGGCCAAAAGCCCGGGGAAGATCCATCCCAAAATAGAAATGCTTTGGGCAAGATTCATGCCTTGTCCCTCATTATAAATCATACGCGCTCACTGGGGGGGGTGTTCAAACTCCGGAGGGTCTCTTTCATCCCAAACGCTATCATAAATTAGTAAAACCCGCTGCGGCGTGCAGCTTGATCCCATAACTGTCACTCATAATTAGGCCCTCGGCCTCACTCAGTCATCACTATCTCCAGACTCTCGGGCTCATAATGCCATGAAACTAGCCCAAAATGATGATATAATGTGTCAATAAATAGCAACAGAGACTGAGATATGATATAAAAAGAATGAACATGACTGAGTATGAAATTTCAATTTAAACAAATAATTCAACAACAATATGACCTCGGTGGGTCCCAATAGAATAAACATGTCGTTTAGACATGATTTCTAATATGGATCACAGCTCAATAGCTCTAGTGCGTAAAGATTTCAAGGTTACAGATAAGATCAGGTAACTATACGGTACCACGGGAATAACAGAGTCACAATTCACACGATGCACGCCCACATGCCTGTCACCTAGCATGTGCGTCACCTCAACACATAACACATAATTCAGGGTTTCATACCCTCAACACCAAGTTTAGAAGTGTTACATACCTGGAACAAGCCAAATCTAATACCTAGCAAGCCAAACGATGCCTCAAAAATGCCATCTTGCGCGTACCGATCTCTGAACGACTCGAAACTAACCAAAAGCAACTCAAATACATCAAATAATGCCAAAGGAAACAAACTCAATCAATAAAGGTCGAATATTTAATAAAATTTCCAAAATCGACCAAAAAGTCAAACTCGGGCCCGCACCTCAAAACCCGGCAAAACTCACAAAATTCGCCAATCCATTCAATTACGAGTCCAACCATACTGTTTCACTCAAATTCAACTCTAAATCGATGTTCAAAGCTCAAAAATTTACTTTATGAAATTTTAGACAACCCCCAAATTTCACTTTGAAATCATCAATCTAATGCCAAAACCGAAGATGGATTATAAAATATAACCAAAATTGAGTATAGAAAACTTACCCCAATACATATGGTGAAAATTATCTCCAAAAATTGTCCAAATCCGAGCTCCCCAACTCAAAATATGACCAAATTAACAAACCTTTGATATTAAGTATTTTTTTCCTATTGTTCTGCCTCATTTTGCTTGCCAAATGATCCTGAAACTTACTTTTGATGTCTCCAATGCATTCCTTGTGAAATTGCAATCAAGTTAGGCTTTTTAATCACTCCATTTAACCTTATAATGAAGGATATATGTTGGTTTCAATATTTGAAAATGGTGCAGATTTTTAAATACGAAGTCAGTGGCAATTTCGTAATTAATCTGAAAAACATGGCAACCCAATTCTTAGTAAAATGACCATAAATACCCATATGATATCCAAATTTGACAATTTTTTTATATGGCTCCGTAATTACGATACAGATCTAATTCTTCAATCAAAACAGAAATCAAAGCTCATTTGTTTAATGTGGTACCATTTATGCTTGAAGAATCGACATCGAAACATAAGAAAAACGAGCGCAACACAGCTAAAACCTTATTCGAAACTCATCCGAGCCCTCGGGACCCCGCACAAACATACCAACAAGTCCTATATCATAACATAGACCTACTCGAGGCCTCAAATCACGCATAACATCATCGAAACGACGAGACGCACCTCAAATCAAACTTAATGAACTTTCGAACTTTCAACTTCCTAAAACTCGCACCGAAACATATCAAATCAACTCGGAATGAACTCAATTTTTTCACAAAAGTCCTAATACATCACATGGAACTACTCGTGCCCCCAAACTACCAAGCGAAGTGCAAATGCTCAAAATGACCGGTCGAGAAGTTGCATTCTCCCCCACTTAAACATATGTTCGTACTCGAACGTGCCAAGAGTTGTTCCTAAGCCATCAAACCATCGTGTAACCTTACCATGCACATACCAGGGGGTGATCCCATAGCACCCTATTCTATATAGGCCTAATAACACAACATAATTGAAGATCATTACTTAAACCTTAGCCTATTAGCCTTAAAATCCAATTTCCAACATCCGGAATTTCTATAAGATCAGAATCTCACATCTACACACTATATAAGTCTGAACAAGTTGTATCAATCCTTCACCATAACCCAAGATGTAATCACATGATATACCGCATAACTCAAATACTCATAGCGATAATTTCTAATCACAGTAGCTGCTCCAAACAACTCAATACCGGTAATAAACCTCATATCAAACAAAACCTCATTTTGCAACCTTTGTACACTGCCAATAATGAAATAAACATGCAGAACTCATAACCATTCATCAGATCAACAAGTCATGGAGCTCCCTCTCCTTCGACAAGAACTATAGCCGGTTTCTAAGATGACTTTCGATATTATCCTTCCAACCATGCTGTAATCA